CAAATGACATTGCCACTGTGTCGTAGCGGAGTTCTTTTTCGCAAAACACTTCGCACGGTAAAAAAAAAATTCAATAACCCGAGACGGTTATAATAACACAATACCCATATATGACATGATATAATACGACACGACGACGTGTTGCGTCCGAGTATTTCAAACATCGTAATCGAGCAGAAGGATGATATTATAATATGAATTCGAGGGGGACGCTTAAATTAAAAATAAAAAAAAACCAGGAAAACAAGACAAACAAAAAGCAATTTTACAACAACATTTTGAAAACTAAAAAGTATTGAAAAAATAAATTCAAGTACTAATTCAATTTCACACGACGTGTTACCATCATAATGGTGGTAGATATTGATTTAGTTTGTTGTTGCGTAATAATAACTGTAAAATATATAAAGAAACATTCAAATGTGTTGGACTAAAAAATGTCGATGAGGGTCAGACGTTACTGCATAAATATACTTCGATTTTAGAGCTAAAACGATTTTTGTATATATAGGCATTTGAAATAGAATAACTTTGAAGAAATAGCAGATGCATATAATATTGGGTATATTTTAATATTTAGTAGTAATTTTACAATGTTCGGTTAGAACCAGCCTTTCACCATTGTGGTTTGTTCAACAACCCTTTTTGTTTGTCGGCATAAATTCAAATGCGGGAATAATTGTAGTAAAATGTACAAGAAGTGAACAATTTTGAAACGCTCAAAACTCTCTTCGAAATTAATATTTAAAAAAAACCTATGAAATATAATATTATTATACAATATTTTTACTTTAAAATATTTGATAATAAATCAATTCACTCTAATACTAAACATAGCAGAGTTAAATGAATAATTCATGACATAATATAATCTGTCAATTTGGGTTCAATGTAATGCGTTTGAAAGACGAAAACAATACGATGGTGGGTGTAGACTGTTGAATCCTTTTAATAATTATTTTATGAAACAGCGTAAACTTAGTTTTGACCTTTTTCGATTTTGGTTATAACTATGAATTAAGGTTGCTTGTACGTTAAAATATCGTTCGAATTTTCAAATATTAAAAATTGTCTGATGTGCACATACGAATAATAATATAATTTAATAATTTAAGGGTCGTCCAAAAGTTTATGTAACTCTACTGATAAAATATGTTCACATAAGCAAATAATGCGTTCACGGTCATAAAGTTAATCATTTTTAATACTTACTTATGACAAACTTATATAATGACTGCGGTTTTCGACTACTTTTCTGAAAATTCCGATTTTAATTTTTAGCATTTTTTTTTAAGTATTTCACCTTTTCGTGCTTATCAATGGGACCAACTATTCGACGTACCTATAATTCATACTATTCATTCGATGGATTAAGTTTAATATATTTTTCGAAGCGAGGACGTCGTTTCAATAAAATTAATTGGCTATAGCTTATTAATTGTTCATGAAATCATATGAAATCACGTATTGTATTTCTTATATTATACTTGTTGTTAGGGAGGTTTATTTTGGACACATATTTTTTATAATTTAAAGAAATATACTAAACATTTTTTTATTTTTCGTTATAAATTAAAAAAATGATCTCCCAAAGTATATCAGGTGTGATTGTTATTTTTTAAATTTTTATGAATAGCCAACCTATAAATTATAAAAATATCCAGTAATTGAATTGTGGTAATGGCAATAGTGTTGAAAATATTACACATAATTTTACCAAGTTTCATGAAATCATTATAACGTCAGGAATTTAATTTTTTCTACTATTTCTTTGAAGTTTTATTTGTTTTGATGCATATAATTCATAAAGAACAGCGAATATACTTCAAAAACAATTCATGTATAATATGAACACATGTATTTATTATTATACAATTATATTATTCATTTATTGATAATCATACAATATTTGATGAGTTTACTTCATTCAAAAACAAAAATGTATACTTTTTATTCTACAAATAATAATCACAATATATATTTAATTTTGTGCCTTTAAATTTGTAAATTTTTTTCGTAGTAGGTTTTTCTTACTTTTTTTTAAAAATGTGTGTAATAAAAACATTGACTATGCTATAATTTATAATTGCTATTACGATACTTTCGTATGATAGAAAACTCAACTTTACAGGTTTGCTTTTTATTACTCTGATTAAAACAGTTTTTACAAATCAAAATAAAATACATTCATCGCTCCGTTCAGAATCTAAAAAATATGATTAGATTCCGTCACAAATATAGTATTGTGAACATTGTACTTAATAAAGTTCCCCTAAGTATATAAATTATAATGTATGTCGTCTGATTGTTTATTTTGTGTACCCATGTAATTTGTGTACACCACTTAGGATTTATAATGTCAACAAATAAGCTACACGGCAGTCGCCATAGATACATGGTTTAATCAACAATGACTAATCTACTACGATTATCAACAAATGACGACAAAACAATATTATTATTTAATGAGTTACTTAACAATATCCAAAACGATTAACAAAAAATAATTTAAATCAACGTACAAACAAGTGAAATATTTTCGATTTCCCTATCGAATTTTTGTCATAGAAATTAAATGAATAACTTATTTTTCCCTTCGGCTATAATAGGTAGTGATAAAATCAAATTTAATTTTAATTTTCTAAAAATTGGAACAACAATAGTTTTTTATTTTATTGGTGATACCTACCTGCCAACTAAAATGATTGGGTACACTTTGTTTGTCCTATTAATATTTTATGCTCAGCAGTCACCATACATTATTAAAAAATTACAAATTTTATTTGAAAAAAAAAACATATATTTTCACATTTATTTGATCAGATCAGATTATAATTACTATTTATTATTTTATTACAATATATTACATTCAGAAATAATGTATTCAATGACGAGTTTTATAGGAAAAAATTCGAGAAGAACACATTAATTATCAATACGTTTTGTCGTTGAAATATTTATGTTTGAGATTAACTACTTATAATAATTGGGTATTATCTCACATAAACATCAGACAACACCTATGACCTAGCTGCAATATACTATAGAAATGGCGAAATCCTTGTTCAGACTCGGTGGTTTTTTGGTTACATTCCTTACAACCATATAATTCACTACAACCGAATGGATCGGATTCATCGAACAAATACGAAACAACATCTCTACACAGGAGGCCGTGAACCCCTTCCGATCGTTTTTCGCACTAAACCACTGCAATAACAATATTAAATAGACTAATAAATGCGTCGTCCATAAAAAATTCGATAAATCGATTTCCAAGAAACACCTTATAAATGGAAATTTCAAAGCCTGGGCATAAACGAGTTAAAAAGTTAAAGTTAATTTTGACCTTTTTAACTTACTTTAGTTAACAGTAACTTTTTAAAATTTTATCTTCTTTAATTTTATTTTTAACTGATTTTTATTGATACAAACTTAATAAACAACGAGTTATTTTTAATCAAAACCAATTTAAGTAAATTTGAATATAATTAAATAATAAATATAATGCAATTTTTATTGTTGATGCATATTCCAAAAACATTTACTTTTTACTATTTTAAATCATGTTATTGGCTATTCATATATAAAGAAAAACAATTTAAACTTGAGTCAATAGTTTAACTGTAAGTTTCTGTATGACATTAAACTTAATTGAGTAAAAAATAAAATTTAGATATAACAATTAACTTTAAACTTTCAAATGTTTTCTATCAACTGAACTTGACTAAATTGAAAATTATCGTTAACGGGCTTGGAAATGTAGTACGAAACCCAAATATTTGCATGATTTTATGGCATATTTATTAAAACCGTCGTCCAAAACCATATTGAGGGTTATTATATATATGGTGTCGGGATAATATTTGTATAATATGACGTGTACACGCAGACAGCACGTTGTAAATGAATTCAACGGTCATACAATTCCATCGCGCCAAAAATTCCAATCGGATCAATTGAAAAAATTCCTTCTGCTCTCACAAAACGCACGCGCTTATTGATTATGCTGTTTCTGCAGTGACACACTAGCTGCAGTGCGTACAAACAATTTATCAACCAAACATCGGTATCTACCTACATGAAATCCATCATACATAACATGTTTATGCGGTTCTAAGTGCAGAATGTCCCACGGTTTTTACACTCGGAGTTTCTGTGGCTGGTAACATGCCCGCGCCAATCGTACGAGTCCGCCAAACACTGTAAACCAGTACAAAGCAATAAACAATAAAAACAGTGTGTGGATTACCTACATTAATATCCTATTTATTTATAACAACCGCAATAAAATGTCTCCATTCTGAACAGCAATTATGGACAGCATAATAATGTATGGGTAGTTGATTCAACACGAAAATTAATTTTTCTCGTTCGTAATTAATACTATTATATGCCTCGACATTGACATTGAAAACAATAGCGTACCTGAACATATCGATCGTATAATATATTTGCCCAGAGCTGCGACGATAGGTTTTAATGAATTGATCAAGTTTCCGTCTTTTGAAACAATGCCCCGTGCTGCATATTCTGTAGAACAATATCGCCTATATAATCTATTCGGTAGGTACTTAATTAATCAGTTTTGTTATTTTTATTTGATGTCTCGGCGTTTAGAACAATGTTCATATAATTAAGCATTTAAACGCATGTATAATGGGTAGTGGGTAGGCACGCATAATTTTTGTAAAATATATTAAAGAATGTACATTGCACAGAGAGGTGTCACACATATTCTTGGGTGCCATCAAGTCACGTTCTTTCCAATTTGGGCGAAGTCCAAACCCCCGTTTGGCTGTGGTTTCGAGAAAGTCAATTTACCAAAAAATGTGCACTAGTAGCATCCGCCTAGCGAATTCCGTTCAAATGTAACGAAAACGCCGTTCAACTAAACGAAGGTAATTGTAATGATAAAAAATAGTCATTTTATTCACTCCGGTTATTTTCAAACACAATTAATATGATTTATATGTCGTTTAACTTAATTCAATTTGTGTTTTATTTGTTTTTACGGTGAAAAAAAATTCTAATGTAATAATATATTTATAAACGACGAATAGTTTTTAACTTATAATATAATAAATACAAGTATACAACAATCAAAGGAAAATTAACAATGAGAACACGTAGGTATAGGTACGTATGTACACATTTTTTTATTCATTTTTTTCTCTAGGTATAATGCAAACATAGTCATTAGGTAATAATATTCTGATAAACTAGTCAGGTAGTTGGATTATAATATTTTATTATAGTTTTTAAGTATGCAAAAAAAAACGATACCCGTGAGTCTTAGTTTTATTAAAATATGGTAACGTTTGTAATAGGTATGATAAGTCACAAAATACTGATTTACCCCCTGTAGTAAATATAGCCATTTGGAGATTTTTTTTCAAAACGACCATGAGTAATTTAAAATATTTTTTTATATAATAATGAACATTATTATCAAGATAAAATTTATAACAATAATGTTACCTTTTCTTAGTACTTAGAATGTTTTTCTTTATTTGCGATGTGCGATCTATACCAAAGAAGTATAATTTGTGTATGTGGTAAGGTGATATATATATATATATATTGTATAATATGTACCTACATATTAATATTAATTGATCACGTTAATTAATTAATAATACAAAATACATAATAATTTCATGATAAGCTTTGGTAATGAGAATAACGGGTTGACTTTTTTTAAAACTAGTAGTGCTCCTAGTTTGTTTTAGAAGAGATGGAGTGAGGGGTCAAGAATAACACGACACCATTTTCGTTTGATACGCGGGTTTTGTGCAGGAATAGAAGGGATTGCGAGATTTCGTAAATAATGTGTCATAGTTGGAGATAATACGGTTGCAAGTAATGTATTTTAGCTTCTTCTAGAACTAATTTTATAATTTTAAGTGAGGATGTATAGTGTTGTTTGAGCCGTAATAATGGGAGAAGGGCATTTACTAGTTGTCTGAGTGCTACGTTTCGAAACATTTGAATTGGATTTAGGTTTGATTTTTTTACATTTCCTCTGCGTGGTCATTGCGGCTTTATAGATGAGCATCTTAGTGTTTATTTTAGTAGGCGTAATCAACAATTTAGATTTAATAAGCCGAATCCAGGTTAAATAAATATTTATAAATGGTTATTTTTTAAAAAAAATTGAGTTCATTTACAAATATGTTCATCAGTTTTCAAATGTACATTTGGTACTTCTTACATTTTTCAATCTTTGTGATAGGTTAATTTAATAATATTATTTTCTTAATTTGTATTATTTTCATAGATTATACATTTGACAATGGGTAGTTAGTATATTACTATATTCATAATGAATTATATACATTTTCCAAACATATATACATATAATATAATACTATATACTAGATCAGAGTTTTTTGAAAATCTAAAAATGTTTGATTGGATTACTTTGCAACGAGCAATCTAAACCTAAAATCTGCAATACATCTTTGAATGTAATTATTTTAAAATTAAAAATTAAATCAGTTACATTTTTATACTTAAATGTTAAGTAGAGTATATGCAGCTGTTATTAGGTATTACTTATTAGTAAGATAAATATGATTTTGTTTATTTTAATTCTCCGACTTAGGTAGACCTATTTAGGCAAAAAAAAAATTGAATTGCCAGGTTATTTCTTAACCCAAGTGTTTATATTATTATAATGTTAATTAAAAAATTAGATTAAGAAGAATTTAGATATTTTATAAGTGATTAAGTCGTTTAATATAACAGTATATAGATAGTGCATATATTATATTATATATATTATATATCCTATACAAATGTTGAAACTTTACATTAGCAGAATACAATTTTTAATGTTTTATTTTTTATAAATTAAAATGTGTTATCTATAAGTATCACAGTATCACAATCTCATTTTAAATTATTAAAATAATTAATCATAAAATTGTTAAATACTATATAAAATCTATGTAAGTAGGTACATAATATTATTATACTGTCCATTTTTTTTATTTTGTAAATAATGGATGACATAAAAATTATTATGCGTATAATAGTTTTTTTAAATATGATATTATGAATAATTCAATTCAATTCAATATAAAGTTATCTTTTCACGTGCACAATGTATAATACAATGTATAGCCATAAATACGATACGTTACACAACATAATACGTGTACACTGTATATTATGTACATTGTACATCGTTTTTTTCTTCTCATAAAATAATTCCAAAAAAAAAAAGGAAGGAAACTATAAATAAAAACTATTTATACCTATACCTAGAAATTATTTTTTCTTTAAAGAGTGAGCAAATGGGATAAAAAAATTAAAATTAAATACAAAAGTGTCTTAAAACAACAAAAAACATACACAAATAGTACTTAATTTATTGGGCATTCAATTTTATTTGCAAACAATAATATAATAGTGGACATATATGTCGTTGTATGGCAGTATTATTCACTGACCTAAGTAAACGCGCATAAAAATTTACTATAAATTAAAATATTTATCGATGAATTAAAGTTCTATTTTATCATATTTCCACTCAGGACTGGCGACTGTCCTTAAAAAATCAACATTTTCATCACCCCTTCTCTTCGGCGGCCTCCAGAGGTTATTCCATGTATATATGACATAAGTATTATCTAACTGTTTGATAACTTTGCAAGATATTCAGGAGATCCTTAATAGATGATCTTTGCATCAACACGTGAGTTGCGGAAAACAGGTACTTTTGTATCAAGGAAACTTTTTAATCTGGTCTTAAAATCGGTTCAACCAATGAAATCACTTCACTTTTTTTATAAACGCTTCCGAGTAAAATTTTATCTAGATCCCAATCAACGTATCTCACACTTCATTTTAACGCCATTCTTGGAGATCCCTCCAGGTGAATCAAATGGAACTGGTTCAGTGTTCTGAGTACCTAATTAATCAAATTATCCGTCTCTATTTTTGTGTATAAATAAACTACTATTCTATGGAACCTACCTATTAATAATACTGTACCTATTTCAGTATTTGTATATTAAATAGAAATTTTCAAAATAAATCTACTTCTGTCTTCTTTTATAAATTATTTTGTTATATGTACAATAATATACAGAGCGGTTCACCGAGCATGCTCACTCCCATTTTTCTTTCAATAATGAATTTATTAAAATTCTGACTTTTGGAAATTTAAAATATACTCAAAGACCATATTTTCAAATTCTTGAATTTTTTTGTACTACTTAACGTGTCCTGTGGTGATACAAACTTCTGTTTTTCGAATGATAACCCCGCTACTTTACTGTATATTGATTAGTGGACAATGTTTTTGAAAATTTTGATCTAACACATTTGAAATTCAAACGAGTAATTTCTTTGTTATTAAAATATTTATATTAATGATAACAGTCCTTAAAACTGGTTTTACATAGATATAAAATAGGCTCAAAATTGGATGCAGCATTTATTATACTTGGGCCATTTTTATAAATTATTTATATCAATAGATTAATTTAAATTACTGCAATTTTCAAACCACCACAGTCCCCCATATCTTATACAGTTATACACTCATTACTATGGACATTTTATCCTTAAAACTCAAAACTATTAGTACTAACTTTGATTTTGATACATAAAAAATTTCAGAAAAATTATCTACTTTATTATTTATAGTTAAGCAGGGGTGTTCTCATTTGAAAAACAGAAGCTTTTATCTCCACAGGACACTCCTTAAGAAATACAAAAAATCTCAAGAATTTTAAAATATGTGGTTAAAGTATATTCAAAAATTAAAAAAATCAGAATTTTGAAGAAAAAAGGGGGTAAGCATGCTTGTCGAATCATCCTGTATTGTAAAAAAATGTTTAAATATCTTATTCACGGTTAGTGTTGTGGATCATTGTTTCGAATAATAATTATAACTGTAACTATGTATAAGTTGGTAGATATATAATATAGACATAAAAAATAAACATTTTTTTTTTTGCATCATATTATTTAATTGGACTCGCGTAATTGGACACACGTATGCAATTAATAGAGTATATGTAGGATACCGAAGTACTAAAACCACAATGAATGAACATTGCGCAGTGCACATCTTACAATAACAAGCATATAATATTATATTATTATGCAGAATGCACATAATTCCACGATATTTTTTTAAATATCATATGCAGGCCGGAAACGCTACAAATACTATAAGTATACCTTCAACATTATAAGTTATAACAATTAAATTGTTTCATTAGCGGATAATAGAACGGATAATTTTCAGATGTGCTAATTAAAGAAAACGCTATATAGTCACATAAGTAACAAGAAGAAAATAGGAACATTCTGCACATTAATTAGGAACAACAGAAATTATAATAGAAACGTGCCATTAAAATATTATTATATAGCCCTATCCGTTCCAATTGATCAGACACAATATTATAATATTACATAATATAATTATATGCGAACATAAGAATATAACATAATATACCTCATATTATTGATTATATAAATACTAGTATTTATAATCAATGATGATATCAATAACAGCTTATTATTGTACGTATTGCTACCATAATATTACTGTGGGATGTCTATCACTACATTATAAATACTACTTCCGAGCAGAACAAGGATGAGCATCGCGACCCCTGTGGCCCCGTATGCTTTAACCTTTTCATTTATGCAATTATATCCGATATTTTTGTTTTGTTTTGTATGAACTTCTCTCGTCATGTATCTAATAAAATCCTAAGATGAGTGTTTGTCCAAATTACATCCTTCACCTCGCCCTTTATGAAAGTGCGATCGACGATTAAAGATTTGTTATTCTTATAACTTATTAAGAATGAAACCCTATTATTTCGGGCTTTCATACTAATAATACTGTATCGCTTTTAAATACCTACTGTTTTTACATTCAATATACTGGACCTACGCCAAGGGCAGTTCTCCCTCTTGGTTTTTTTCTGGGGTCAATTACCATATAATCATTATTAGGGATAGAATTAAAAAAGCACTAAAAACAATGCTTAAAAAATACTAAATAATGCACTAAAATAATACTTATTTTTTAATAATATCTATAAGACGATACCTATAAATTAAAATACATTTGGTTTATATGATACATTCTAGACTTTTAAGGGATTGCAAAAAGTTTTGAAGCTAGAACTAATAGTTTAGGGCTTCTTTATGTGAAAAATTAATTGTTTCTTTTTCTATATAGATTTACATCATATATTTATTTATCAGTACGTATAATTTGGCAAATTTTAAATTTAAATAAAAACATCTAACAGCATGTACAAATTAAAAAAAAAACAAGTCAAATAAAAATTCAAAAACTTCAAAACATCCCAAAAATCCAAAAAATTCAAAAAATGGAAAATTTAAAAACTTCTTACTCTGATTTAAAAATATATGAAATGTGTAAATACTGCCTATGTTATAAAACGAGTATCGCCGAGAAACAATAAGCAATGCAAAGTGCATCGAAATATTTTTTAATATTACAAATACACTTGTCATAAAATTGTAATACAAGTAATAGCCAATTATGGGTATCACGAGTCTAAATAATATTTGGGTAGATGTACACATCAATGGCTAAGTAATACCTGCCAACAATATGAACAGTATGATATTGTTTATTTGTGTTAAATTGCACACAGAATTATGAAAACATTCTATATTCATAGCTATTGCGAGGGTTTAACAGTTTTTGAGACATCTGCAGACATCCTAAACGCGAACTGTTTTACTTTCTATGAATCGTTTGATATCTATTCGGACTCGAGTTTTTGTTTCCATTTAGATTATTAGTGTGCTCGTCGTGAATAAACAGCGGTCAAGGTTCGCGGTCTGTTATCTGGGGTTGCGTATGCCTTATTTGTGTGCGTGTGTGGTAGTGGAAAGGGGAGGTGGTGAATGGTGATGACTATATAGGAGCAGGGGAGAGGTCGATAAACCCATTTTTTTTTTTTTTTTGGATCTTTATGCACAGTAACGCGCATTGCACCGATGATAGTGTGCATGTGCATGTACATATTACGTACAATGTATAATAATAATAATTTTATCGGGAGCAATATGGCGTATATATATATGTATATTATGCGTGATTACGACGACGACTACGACGATATTGCTTTCTTGGGCATTTCGTGATCAAACACGCCTCCGTTCGCACTGCACTCCGCCCGCAAAGTCTGACCAATAGTGGAAAAAGTTAGATTTAAACACAAATATCCATTTTTTTACAGGGGATCTTCAGGTAACACGTGCGTTTCCGCAGACGGGTTCATCGTACGACCTGCACGGATTCCAAGGATCTCGCATAACATATTACATATTAGCCGCCCTTATATTATTCAATAGGTACTAAATATTTGTAGGTATACGTCTTGTCTTATACGTGTCTATATTATGCGCAAGATACGGTATAAACTGGTACATTTTTTTTTTAAACAGCAAAACACCAAATATCATCACGAAGAGAGGACAGGTCCAGTATGGAACCTACCGCTAAATTTGACTTATCTATCTAACAATCAGGCTATAGGTACCGTTCACTTAAAATATTTAGTTACATAACTTGAAACAGTAAAATATCGTCTATTATTAATCCATCTTATATTAATAAGTATATTTATGTGTATATAAACTACACTTTTATAGAAAATATTTTTGTACAAATAGTAGTATAAGGATAACAATAATTATACAATTTTTGGCTTATTCAAAATGTTATTAAGTATCTACTGTGGATAATATTGTTAAATAATATTATGCTACAAATTATGATTGTTTGATGTTATCAAATGTAAAATCAAATGTTGTATTTTAGTATTACAGACTATAGGCTTTGTTTGTATGCATATGGCATGGATTTCATGAATTAAAGTTGGTGGAAGCCGGTAGGTCTCTCAGTATATTAGTCCCCGCTAAGAGTACTGACCTTTTTTTCAGTCACTTTTTGAATGAATCAATAAAAGTGTTCAAATAATCAATCATGAAAGTTTATTGTTTTCTTGAACAGTCTTGTATTTGTATTTATTTATATCGTTATAATATTATGTTTTAATTGTTTAACAATAATTTTTAGTTTTATAATCCGAAGTAGAATTACGTATTGTCCGAATATTTCGATGATTAAAAAATGAATACGAATTGAAAAATGTATGTTGTCATTTGAAAAAGTTAATAAGTTAAGGAAGTATAGATTTTTATATGTTTAAAAACGCTAATACGTTCGTGATAACTAGAGTATATTATTATAAGAAATATCCTGTATTATTATAATCAAATCATGTTGATAATTATTATGAAATCTGACGGGTTATATAAAATAACTACATAATAATATATTGCAGTAGTGCGTACAAAAAAAACTACATATTAAAACAATATTATTATTTAATAATAAAACAACTAATGGGTTCTTTCGAGTTACACTTGTGTTTAAGCCCTATTCTTTACCGATGCACCCAAACTAGAATTTATAATTTAAATATATTATTATGTGTACGCATCATCATTATTTTTATGATCGTTTTCGATTACACACCACTGTTGCTCGTGTCGTTTCTTTGAAATACTAGTATGTAGGTATACGAAATAATATAATGTTATGCACTCCACGATTATTATTACATGCATGCATATTTTGATCATTTTGACACATTGTTTTATTTATTATAATATTTAATGAAGTTTCTAATTACAACACTTGACATTTTTCAATCAAATCTAAAATAATGAACCATCAAACAAACATACTGCGTGGAATTCAATTATTTATACTACGACATAAAAATGACGTAATAAATTAATTTTAAAAACTATACCGTAAGTATAGTTGTAGTTTAAAGTACAATTCTTTATGATTGTCATTTCGTTACTTTTTATTTGTTTTTTAATTCCAACATTGTAGAAAATTCACTGATCAATCATCAAGTTGGTTGGTACCTATATTAAGAATTTTTCTCTAAGAAATATTTTTATACAAAGATTTAAACTAATGTACTAAAAACATATATAAATTAATAATATTGACGCAGAAAAGTTCTAAGTAACACCACATAATATTAGACATTATGCTTGTTAAAATACAAAATAATGCATTAATGTATGAATGTATCATAATATAATATAATATGTTTTGAAACAACTTGAGTTAAACTTTTTATTTATTATTAGTAAAGATGTATAACAAAAACGAATTATTTATACCGAGTATTGAACAGCGATAACTATGTCGAATAAAGTATATTATAGAATTATAGATATCGACTAACACAATCAAAAAAGGTTTTAATTTTTTGTGGTTTGAACTTTGGTTGTACCGCAGCTTTGATTAAAAATAATATTGCATTTTAAAATATGCTACTGTGCTGTTGACCACCATCAATATATCGATATATTAATGATTAGATATAATATTTTATACTACACTTTAACAGAGTAAAGTAGGTCCATTTATAATGTTATGTACACTGCCATTGAAGAATTCTATGAAAACGAGTATTCGGGAAATGTAGGACACTAATAATTATACTATAAAACTCCTTACAGTGGATTTGGAATGTATGTATTTTGTGTATAGTTTTAAAGGTTTGAATAAAACTAACTACTGAGTACTTGGTTTTAAAATACAAATATGCAATATCAAAGATATTTACTCCATTTTCATCGAATCTGCAAAAATGCACTAATGCATGAAACATTGCGCATTATTTGAAATTAACGTGTTATGTTTCAATTATCATTACCTATACCAATTACCGATGGACTTTTTTCAATAAAAAAAATGTTATAATAATATATAGGTACACATATCACATTATAATATCATCATATTAATTTTTTTAAAGCAAACAAACTGAATCAAATTAACAATCTGTTGATAATTGTTACACAACTCTTTAAAAATTAAAATCGGTCGCATCATAAAAATGTTATCATTTTGTAGGTATAAGACATAAGTACGTCTCCTGTCGGTGTTAGATTTAAAAATAATTATATCGAAGTATATTGTATTTAAATTTGCATGATTTTACATCATAGTTTAAAATTGCTGAAGTATATATAGCACAAATTAAATTTACAAATATATACCTACTTCGTAAATCGTTTTATGTTCGATAGTAATAAGTAATAATATATTTATATAATATATATATATAATTATATAAACTCAGAATTTTCAAAAGTGTTAGAGCTTATAAAGATTAATATTAGCGTTTTGCACGCAATTGTTTACGTCGGTTTCTTGGTAATTTAGATCACTTCAAGTTGACTAGGCTGTTGTGCGAAATATATAACATGATAGAATTATTAAATTTATACCACAACCAACCGTAACTACGTTATGAATTTACATATTATGTGGAAAAGCATTTTTCCTTGTATATAAATTTGCAATGTCAGGGGCGTCGCAATTATTATTTTACTCTTAGTTTCACGCAATAATTATATATTAGTTATAATGATATAACACAAACAAACGCTTCTGTTAATTGAGAGAGTTTCTTTTGTACGAATGTCAATCACCGTAGAATACAATATTTTTCTTAGGGAAAATTAACACGTTATCTGATAGGTTACAAACATTATAAACAGCATACACGTCCTGTCTTTGTGCGAATAAAATATGTTCTGTATTCTGTTGAAAAATATATGGTATTACACACGCGCATAAAATAAAATATTTTTGTATTTTATTTCAATCTGTTTAAAATGATATTATCATATTATATGGTTTTAAGTTGGAATATCAATTATGAGGCTTATTATTAGGATCTCCAAAATAAATGATTACAAGCCATCGCTGGAAAAACAATTGTTAAAGTTTATTGAAAATTATTAATAAATGATAGGTACAACAACGTAGCCAATCACATTACATAAAGGAGTACAGAATCCAGAACATATTATTTTATAAAAAAGGTCATTTTCTGAAATTTGCTGACTCATCATCTTTCATGAATAAACAATTTAACTAGCTTACTATTATAAGCTATTATTTTGTAGTCCTAAGAATAACTATAAATAACTAAAATTGACAAATGATTTACAACCAATTCCTAATCAATAATAATCAACCAAAGTGTTCACAGCTAGCTGATTTGAATAACATATTATGTTTTCTTTAATTTGTATTATAATTAAACTATTTATAGTTTATGTGTATATGTAATTCAGTCAATAAATTAAGATTATTGTATATTATACTTTAGACCAACTAAACTATAAACACGAAAATAGTTTAAAGTTAATCATTAACTATCATGTTCAATGTGATTAAACGCAATTGTAAACAACTATTGATATTATTACTAATTATTAATTAATTTTGCTTTTATTCAAAACCTGATCTAAAAAGAAATTATTATTATTACTATCTATGATACGTATTAAATATACGGTGGTAGGTACTTAAAACACTTTGAAGAATAAAAAAAGAATTTTGAAACCAAACGAAACTGAGTTTACTAATCCTCAACAACACAACCTAACAGCTAACACTGTTAATATGACATAATAAATTGTATTAGTACTGATTAATTATAATAGGTTATTTTAACAATATAAATAAAGTGTACATCAAGTTATATTAAAGAATTGCATATGCACTGGCACACTGCAATATTTTATGACGACTCCAGGTTAGTTTAATTGTTGTTGAATAGTTTGAATACTCAGGTATCGGGTCGCCTGTAAATATATGGCTAATTTCGCTAAATATGTACAATATGTTGGGCGTCACCCGGAAATTTTTTTATTTAAATATTTCAGTTAATTTATTTTATTTTTTAACTATATTATAAACAAACAAAATGTAATTAAACTACTTTTTGTTTTTTTTTAATTTAAAGATATAGTTTGATTTTATATGTAGGCATCAATTTATAGTAGGTCAGACTACGGATAAATAATTATTAACATAATATTATCAAATATAATGTTTATTATTTTCCCTGAATGTCTTCTATGTTTATTAGTATTAAAATAATTGTAAATAGCCATAATTATTACTAAAATTTTATCATTAGGTACTAATAGAGCACACAACCAATTTTTTCTGGTAGTTCTGCAATATATGTTATCGACAAAATAAAGAAGTAAACGTAAATAAAATGAACCATATATTAGTAAACTTATATAAGTGTTTTATTTGCAAAAGTCTTATCTTATATACTCAAAGAAATATGATTAATATAATTACAATGGTAGGCAATTATATTTTCGTGGTGTAAGCAATTAGAATATTAGATTAATATCTAAGTACGTACTCCGGAACTTTTAAGTTTAACTTATTTTTAAAATCATTGACACCTATTTATTGTATTATTTTTTTTTTTATGCAAAATGTCTGAATTCTGATTGTTCGAAAAACGATTGTACTAACTATAATAGGTAATCAATGTCTTTAGTATGAGCGAAAAGTTACACGTTTTCGGGTTGATTAGAAATATTCATGATTCAAAAGTAATGGGAATTTTTAAGAACAGTAAGAGGATCCTAACTCACATATTTGATGTCCCAGTAAAATCTTAACGGTCTGATATAGAGATGTGTAATATATTTAATAAAATTCGTATAAAAATAATTATATGCACTGTTACAATAACGTGCCCAATTTTTTTTTGTGCAATTTATGATTTTTTCCAATTTAGTGGATGTATGTCTTATAC